ACTGCAACAAAACAAGAGTTTACTTCACTTTCAAAATCACCACACAATTTGCTGTAGAACTGGTATGCTCATATTCTTATTTTACTACAATCTCTTTTTCAGTCTGCACTTCAACAGTTACACCTTTCCTCATTCAATATTTATATATATATAAATATATAAGTAACTGTTTATTCTAACTAGGCTTTAAACATACCTCCTCTTCCAGAAACATTTCATTTGCATCACTCTTATAAACTTTAACTCACAGTTTTAAGATTCATTAAATAAATGACTGTAGTAATTACTATTAAAAAATTTAAAACCAAGATTTTCCAAAGTGATTGTACAACAAAAAGTAGTACTAATCTCAGCAAATGCATCAGAGGGCTATGTAAGGCTCCCCCAGAACCTTTCTGTAAAGCAGTCTCTGTCCTTCTCAGATGGAAAACTAGTCTGAATTACCCACCATTTGTTAACACATCAAGCCACCTTTTCTAAAAACATCCTTACAGATATTTTAAGGACGGTTTAAAGTTATTTTCAATCAGTTAAGAATTTGGTTCCAACTTATAAACTGTTAAGTACTTCACTTCATAGATTAAAATGGCATAGTTTTAAAATAGCCATATTTCTTAATTGTACTTTCATTACAATTTTTTAAGTTTCATGTGGGGTTTTTTTCTGGTGGTATGATTTCTTCCAAGGTCACTTCTATAAATGTTGTTGGATAATAAATATTTCAGTATTCTTTAAAACTAACAAAAACCAATATTAGTGTTTCTGCAACTATCTCAAAATTGAGAGACAGTTGGCTAACACCACCCATCCTTATTTTCATGAAAATCTAAACACTTGACACACAGTGACTTATTACTCATCTTAAATCCTAAGAGAGCTACAGTTCACGTTTGTTGCTAAAAAATTTTGCTTTCTAATAAAACTCATAGTAGATGCTTAATTTTTGTGAGGTTATACTCAAAACTGCATTTGTCCTGCAAAGAACACAAAGACAGATACCTTGTAAACAGCTTCAATAAAACGCAAGTCACTCTTTGCTGTCAGTTCCACATCACACTTTACCAAAAGCTCTGCTATGCAGGTTGAAAAAGAAGTAAAACAATAGTTGATGATAGGCAAAAATGCAGCTGGATCACCCTTTACTAACCTATTAGAAAACAAAAGCAGAAGATAACAAAAGTCTTTCACTACATGAATTCAAACATTTAACTTGAAAGGTATTAATACAGCCAGCAAGTTATATCCAAGTATCTCTTTCATTTTAAGGTTTTTTTGTCCAGGCATATCTTGTTCAGCAGTGTTTGCTGTTATATGTACAATGCTCAAAAAAAAAAAAAAGAGTTGTTCTGATCTTCATATAATTTAAACACTGATAGGTCTAAAGCCCACCAGCATTTTCAGCTCAACATTCAACACCTTTTTTTAATCTTCACAGGATGAAACTTCCTGAAGGAAATTTAATTACAAAGAAATTACAAAGGTGAGAGATTAACCAAAGAAAAGAGAACGGTAGAAGAGCAAGACAGTGATATACTTCAGGATTATTCTAAGGATTGCTCAGAGGAGGAAAACTGTATCCTTTAGTACTTCAGTTCACATTTACCAAACCCCAGCTTCCCATAGACATATGCTTTGCTTACTCATCACTGAGTGCAATGCTAATACTTATACATATCTTGTTTACACATTTTGCTGTCATTGTGTATTAGCTCAAATTTTCACACTGCCACTTACACTGTATAATCCACATCTCTTGGATAATTTAACAAGCGAAGTCCTTGTTCTATTTTTCTTAAACTTCCATTTAGGTCTCCTGTTGCCATTATTCCAAATGCTATTCTTCTTTCATATTATGAAATAAATGTTAAAAAGTACATCCCCTTAAAAAAAATTATGTACACAAAAATTACAAAATACAATAGAATTATCACTGAAATTTAAAAGGTTTTGCTCCCCTTTCTAAACAACTACTATTTCCAAAGCATTACAATACAGCACAGAACTACATCTCAATACCACTTAATACCAGGCATCATCTTCAGTCATTCGAAAGAGGATCAAGTAGTAATCCTCAATGTGATCAACCACCAGAGAGTTTTAAAGATATCCGAAAGCTTATTAAAAATTTAGTGCTGGCTAAATCCACTAAAAGTGAATGAAAACAAATTTCTTGGCTGTTTCAAAGGAGCAGAAGTTCCACAAGTAGTGAAAACCTTCTGCATTCTTCAGTTTAGAATGCTTCTTTTCTTTACCTGGCCCCAAGCTCACTGGCCAAAAGAGCAATGTTTGGCTGTGTAGGCATCAGAAGACAGAACTAGCAACTCATCACAGATAATACTTCTCTATTTAGACAATCCATTAAATACACTTAAAATTGTTAAGGGGGAGGGGGTAACAGAGTGCTTAGATATTTAGGCAAAATAGTTTATTGGTATGATACCTATAAAGTCCCTCTTTCACTTCTACATTGTAACACACAATTTGAGAATCCACTTTTAATTTATTGTAAGCTTTGCTTTGTAGAAGAAAGAGTCTCATCTAAGGACTTGGTGCAAATTACAAAAAGCTCTCTTCCTGCAGCACTATCCCACAGGGAAACTGAAGACTGGGAAAAAAAAAAAAAGAAAATAAAAGAGAATCAGCAAAGTGTAAAACCACCAACATCCAAATCAGTTTTTAGATCTATCAAAGGCATAAAAATAAGTACAGGACACTCCCACTTTTAGTATGTTGTACTGAACAGAACCAATTAGTAAATTGTCAAGTGGAATAAGACTAGGGAAAAAATAAGGAAAAAAAAAGAAATCAAAAATTGCCATAAAAGATCTAAAAGTACTGGCAATTCTGCCTGGCTGGCAGACAGTAAAATAAAACACCTGAAGTAGTACCTTCAAATATCAGTACTAATAATTTTCCTTGAAAATAAATTTATATTTAGAGACAACCTAAGAGCACTGTACCCTGCAACCATTTGTTTATATGCAATCAATATTAACTCTTCTCCAACACAAAACTTTAAGAGCACAGACTGGATCATAGCCCAGCTCTTAAGTCACAACTGAAAACAAATGGCTTACATCTTAACAACCTGGACACACTGACAGAACTTGAGAGAGCCTATCAGCAAACTATCAAAGTCAGTGTTTTTTGAATCCTTTAGAGGAGATTAAAAAAGCCTAAAATTTAAAGTACAAAAATACAGAAAGCTGACACCTCTCAAAGAATGTTCTTCCTCACATCCTCAAGATCTGCTTGTGACTGGCTTAATCCTCTGCAGTACCTGCCACAAAAGCCTCAGTTAAAGAGTAATGACTTCAGTTATAAAGCCTTAGAACAGAAAATCATCATTCAACTTCCTGCTCGAACCTGGGAGATAATTTCCTGCCACTGTCTCCACTGAATTTCTTTTCTTGCCAGAAAACAAGTACTTTGAAGCCTACCAGTCCAAGCAGTGAAGGGGCATCGACAACCTAGAAATGAAGCAATGGTCTCAAGAGACAGCTGAGTCTTGTATTAATGGTCTGGTTTTGTTGAGGGCGTTTTTCTTCTTGTGCTTCTATGGTGTTTAATCAGCAATCCTCTAGATTAAAGTATTTTCTTCCTATTTAATTATTGGGTTATTTCACTTTAATCATTAGGTTGTCAGTTATTAGTTGTGCTAAATGTAAGTACACAACATTTGCTGTTGAATGTTTGGGACAATTTAACCAACTTGTTTGGAAACTGAGGCAGCTATTCTTCCTGCATTACCTTACAAAGTGATCCATCCTACGGTTTTGCCAGTTTAACTAGATCTTAAGACAAGTCTCAAAGACTCTTACATAAAAATGGAGCTCTAACCTGCAACGCAAATACTCACAGAAGACACTGTCACAGGAATTTGCCTAATCATACAAGCCATTTCCCAAAAGTATTTACAATCGTTTTTACACTGGACCTCTGGATGTAAAAACCAGCAACTACTGTTACTACAAAACAGAAAAACTACTGCTACTACTACAAAACAAAATAGCTTGAGGTCATAAAAATAACAGTGAGGTTGGCAGAAAATCTTTCAACACAGTAAAAAGTGGCACATAGCTTTTGCCTGCAGAAATCCATGACAGAACATCTACAGAACATTTGCTATCCAGAATAAAATCGGTACAACACAGTTTTAACATATGATAACACAGGACTGCGAGTGGATCAAAGAATAATTCTCAAAACTGCAGAGGGTACTCAAAGAATCAATGTAAAACAAACAAACAAACAAACAAAAACCCAAAATAACTACTCCATGAAGGTTAGCAAGTCTTAACACTGTACGCATTGTCTTTGAAATGCCTAACAAAATAGACTTCTGATTTCTTCTCATTGTATCTAGACTCTCCTCTTGCATGGGGTGGGGAACTGAGGGGAAATCGCGCCATTTCACAGAGACGCAAACAGTGGATTTCGCTGTCGTGCCAGGTGCCACCGCCGCACTTGGCGCACCCGGGCCGCTCGCACAGGAGCGAACCGCACAAGGAACCGCGTGTCCCTGGCGGGCTGCCCTGGGCGCCACCGCAACTCCAGCGGGAAAAACGCGTGTCCCAGCCAGGACACGGCACGACGGGCTACGTGCGGGCACAGCGCGCTGGGGCGAACTGGCCAGAGCGGGACCGGGACCGGGGCCGGGGCCGGGGCCGGCTCCACATCCGCCCTCCCTCGCCCTGGGCCGGCCGCAGGCCGGGCCTCTCCCGCCTGGGGCTCGCCGGACCCGGGGAGAGCCTGAGCCCTGCGCCTGGAGCCGGCCCGCACTGCCGGGACAAACCCCTTTCCCGGGAGCGTTCCTGACGCTCACCCGCGCCAGGCGCGCCCCCCGTGGGAACCCCGCGGTTCCCCCCGGGATGGGCGCCGTTCCCGCCGGGAGCCGGGCCGGGCACGCTCGGAATCTGCCGCCGCGAGCCCAACCGCCGCTTCCGCTTCCCGCGGCCCCGCCCCCCCGCGGTGACGTCACTTCCAGCAACAACAGCGGCCGTCAGGGCGGCCCGGCGGGCACAGGGGGCGGCGGGCGCGGACTCTGCCCAGGTTCCCTCCCTCCCCGGGCTCCCTCCCCGGGCCCGCGCAGCCCCTTCCCGCCCGGCGCGGCTCTCGCACGGACGCGGGCCGGTCTCGTCGCGGCGGCGGTGGGACCCGGGCTGGCTCAGGTATGGCCGCGGCCAAGGGGGAGGAGCGGGGTCCTGGGGACGGCCCAAGGGGGTCCGGGCCGGGCCGGGCTCGCCGGGAGCGGAGCAGCCTTTCCCTGCGCGCCCTGCCCGGCCGGGCTCCCTCCGGGGCGCTCCCGCTGGCTGGGGCGGCTTTGGGCCTGCGGGACGGGCTGTGCCTCCGCCCGCCAGCCCGGCTGCCCGGAGTCAGTTCGAGGCGCTGTAGGATTGAAGGGCTCGCAGGTTACGGGCTCGGTTACGGAAGAAGGAACGTTGTCCTGTGGGGATGATAGTGGCTGCAAAGCGGCAGCCGCAGGGCTCGGTTAAGATAGAGCGGAGAGCGTTTAGATCAAGAGTGCTTGTTGCTTTTTATGTAATGAAGTAGAAGCCGGTGCTAATGCAACATTAGTCAAGATAGCTTTTAGCATCCTATCGTGCTTGTCAACACTGCTAAAGACTAACTTAAATCAGTCTTTGATAGGTATCAGACAGCCGGACGAGATCAGCAATTTATAAGCAAGCCTGGCTCTTTTTACTGTGATAGTTTTTACAGCCAAGCTACCAAGATTTCAATTCCTAGATAAAGTTACATTATTGGAAGTTGGAAAGCATATATTTGAGTGGCCTGTTGAATCTGGAGATTGAAAATTTATGTTCAAAATAATTTAAAAATATATTTCTGGACACTTATTACTTAAAAGACTTTATAATAACAAGGGGTTTGCTCATCTTATGTGACGAGTGAGTTCTGAAAGCGTTGTTCCTGAATTACTACAAAGCTGAAAGTAATTACGTGATGAGGAAGATTATATGTGTTCTGACAACTGGCACATAAGCTGCTGAATTGGAGCGTACATGCATATTGGAGCCTTGTGGATTTCCAGCAGCTGGTTCTAGAATGGTTTAAATTGTGTCTTAATTTGTTTCTTCTCTGAAATTTCTTCACTTGGTCCTTAAAGTAGCAAATATATTTTTGTAAGTCTCTTTTTTTTATGTTACGAAAAGGCTTTTCATACCATTTCTGCAGTGATGTTCTCTTTTTAAGTATGTGAGTACAGTATTCTGAAGGGTTTATCTTATCACACTAGGTGAGAAAGCTTGAAAAGATACTTACTCTCTTGTTTCCCAGTACCCAAAATCCTTACTGCGTTATCATTGAAGTCATGAAACTTTGTGTCAGTGTCAGTCACAACCTCGTCTTGTGTGCTACCCAATACTCAGGACATTTTTGTTTCTCCTTAATTTTATAGTGCTTCATTGATGCTAAATGAGATATTTTTATTAAATTTTAAAGGAAGTCTAAGAATTCCAAATGTTCTGAAGCTTAAGGCTTCTTAACTTGCATAGGATATAGATAATATTTGGTACTCTTTGCAGAAGCTTATTGTCAATTTTGTAACTCTTAAAGCATGGAGATTTTTGAAAAAATCTAGGCTTTTTATGGGGTTTTTATTCAGTATCTTTTCAGTTGCCTTATGAAGAAAGGTTACATAGCATAATTTTGACAAAACTCACTTTTTACCTATTCGGATCAGTCCTACAGTTTTATTTTGACGTGTGTGCTGAGTCTGTCTTACAAATGTTTATTAATAGCCGTCAACATTTAATTTGGATTTTATGTCCAGCAGGCTCGCAGATGGGTCAGGGACTCTGGAGAGTTGCTAGGAACCAGCAATTGCAACAGCAAGGATACAGTGGACCAGGCTATCTTACCAGAGAGCATGGTAGGAGGGTAGCTGCTAACAATGTGTCCAATACAAGCCATCGCAAACAAGCCCAAGGAGGCATTGACATCTACCACCTGTTGAAGACAAGAAAATCTAAAGAACAAGAAGGATTCATTAACCTGGAAATGCTGCCACCAGAGCTTAGTTTTACCATTTTGTCATACCTGAATGCAACTGATCTCTGTCTAGCTTCGTGTGTCTGGCAGGATCTTGCTAATGATGAGCTCCTCTGGCAAGGGTAAGCATGAACAAAAAAGTGTCACCTGGACATTATAAAAATAATTAGATTTTAAATTTGTCTCAGTAAGTGCTTTTTGGGACTCTAACCTTAGCAAAAGATTCCTAAGTTAAATGAGATTTTACATAGAGGAAACATAAATAGTTTAAAAATGTATTATTCTGGATTTCTAATTACTATTAGGTGTTATTGGAGATTACTACATGCACAAGTGTGTTTGGCACAAGTGTATTATTACACACCTGTTGTTTGGCATATTATGGGGAAAAAAACGGAGCTTGTTTTCACTTTTGTATTAGCTCAAAGCACACCTCAAATGTTTATATTACTTCCCTGAATTTCAAACCAGTGTCTAGCGTGAGCAAGCAATGCTATTCAGACAGACTTCCAAATGAAAAGACAGAAGAACTCATCTGCTATACTTGTCTTAGAGCAACTTAGGTGTGTGTTTTTTTGGAAGATAGTTATGGAGGTAGGGAAAAAAAAGTCTGTTTTTTCTCAAGTGAAATTTCTGCAGTATAGGTATAAACACATTTCTATAAAACATGTGCAGAGCTTGTATGTCTAGGAAATAAATAAAGGAAGATTCAGATAAAATACTGTAATATCAAAATGCAATTAATAATATTTTCTTTGATATTTTATGTTTAACCAAACCATGAAGGACTCATGAAATCATACTTGTCTTCAGAGTAGATGGTTAGCAAAACTTATAACATTTTTCTGTCCCTTAACCAATGATACTCTATCTGTAATAGTTAAGGGCTTGTTCAGGTTGTTTTTTTTTTTTTGCTTTCATTATTCTCTACATCTCTTCCTTTACTTGTGTATTTCCTTGCCCCTCTGCATTTGAATTAAGCAGCTTCACTTCCTCTCCTGCTTTATGAACTTAGCAGTAGGATAATGCAATATAATTTCTTAGTCACAATTGTTCTGCTGTTGGGGACTGTTGTATTGACAGGAAATAGGAATTCTAGTGAAGGATACCAGTAACCTTCTAAGTTTATCAGTATGCATTGTACTGTGCTCACTTCTTCATACCAAACCCACCCTAAATACAAATAAATTCCCTAGACTAAAGCTTGAAGATACTAGAACTTCTTTGTTGTATGCAGTATATATTCTTAACATACAGGGGCAAAAACAACTCCAATGTATTTTCCTCAAAGTTCATTCTGGGAAATAGTTCGATTATTTCTGGTGAAATCTTTCCAAATAATGGAATTATTCAAAGTATGCACTTTGGTAATGAAAATGTGTTCTGATTTAGCAGATTAATAAAAATCTCAATTTGCATAATCTCTGTAGACATCTACAAATCATCAGCATTCCACATGTATTGGATGCGTTTAAGCTTTGGCAAGTCCTGTGGCTGCAGTTCCAAACTCAGTCCAAATAAGACCCAGGTTCTGAACTGAAAACAGTCTGTGCCATGTCCTCAGTAGGTCCTTGCTGGGTCCTAAACATTGTGCCTAATTAGTTACAAAGCAGGTGTATTGAAGCAGAGCTACCAGTTCAATAAGGAATCTAGAGAGCATAGAAAGTGAAAGAGAATTTCAGATGGTGTCATCAAGGAGACTGAGATGAGGGGCAGAAACCAATGAAACTGAGATACAAAGTGGGATAAAAGGGAAAGAAACTGAGGCATTATAGAAGATATGGAGGGATGGGGCTAGATCTAGTAATTAGGACTGGCCAAGATATGAAAGAGAGAGGTGGAAAAGGTTGGGAAAGTGATGAGTTAATGGCATAATTTTGTGCAGATGTGGTGTCCTGTTCACTGCACAAGAAAATAAACACAATGTTTTATCTGTCATAGTACTGCAGGAGAACACTTGTCACAGTTCTCGTGTTCAGATACTACCAGGGCCAGAGGTCTCCCCTGTGTGGATTTCATTATGATGCCACCTACTGGGATATGTTTCAAGTTTACACTCAAATACACCAAAACCTCTGTGAGAAGAAAATAATGATCATATAATTGAAGATTGTAGCAACACACATGCAAAAGAATTAATAACTAAATGTTACAAGCAACCTATTTCTAATGTTTCCTATAGCTTGACTATTTTTGCAGTGTTGATTACATTTGGCTTCCGTAAAATATATGAAATTCAGAAAAGAATTTTTATAATAGATTAATTCTGTTTTCATAGGTTGTGCAAATCCACTTGGGGTCACTGTTCCATATACAATAAGAATCCACCTCTAGGATTTTCTTTTAGAAAATTGTATATGCAGCTAGATGAGGGAAGTCTCACCTTTAATGCCAACCCTGATGAGGTAAGTGAACTGTTGATGACAGTAGTAAACAGTTAAAATAATTGTGATAATTGTTGCTTTATAACTATAGCTATATAAAACTCAAGTTTTAATAGGTGTTTGTTTTACTGTAGGGATGGTTAATACTAAGCTACAGCCCTATTCTGGTCTTTTTTTGGGGTATTGTACCTGTGCACACAAGTTACATGACTTACCTCTTAAGCACTCTGTACACCGGTCTGACCTATGGATGCCAGAAATCCATAACCACGTATTGACTTAGGAATGGGACACGTGTCCTAACTGAAGAGAAAGCAGTGAATTTTAAAAGGATAATAATACAATTACACAAATTAAAATGCTAAAATGCTTCTGCAGAGTATGAGTTTGGTTCCACTTCAGTTAAAGTAGGATGAGGTGTTAAGTCTGACTACATCTATGACAATTATGTTTCATTGTAAGGGACTTTTACTTAATTTCCTCTATTAAGGGGCAAATACTGAAGTATTATGAGAAAGATGTACTGCTGAACTATGCTGAAGTTCAGTGTGATTTGATTTCTGTGGATGTTTGTTGTGCATAATCTTTATAGTATAGAAAAACATAAATTTATTTAAAAAAAATACATGTCAAATTGAAAGGTTTGCATTTATTAATTCATGTAACTAAATGGAAAAGTCAGTTCCTTCTTTCAGTCTGTCACCTTTCAAAGAAGAAAAAAAATATGAAAGTAGACAGCTTTTTGCCTTAAAGATATGCAATACATGCCCAAGTGACAAAACCAGATTCCTGCTTAATGTTTTGTAGAAAAGGAGGGTAGACGATGCAATACTGAACAAAAGTAGTGTTAACTTCCTGCATGTAATTATGCATACACAAGGAAGTGGTAGTTGAATAAATCCAAAATAGGAAAAGGACTAAGAGATATGAAAAGATATACTTCTAGAAACAAATTGCACTCAGCACATACGATACAGAAAACATGAACTTGCTACCACAGGGTGAAATAAATAAAGCAGTGATATAAATCATTACAGTAATGTGATTTGGCTTAAGTTCTTGCTTTATCTCATATTCTGCTTGATCAAGAGACCACTACTTTTATCAGTCAAAAATTGGAGTATTTTGTAATTTCTCTGGTGCAACTCTGCCTTGAATTCTGATACACAGTGTTGAGATATCAGCACCTTGTCACTTGAGTGATTAGTATTGATTTTCAGCAGAATTTTCATAAATTTAGTAATAAATGTAAAGGTTTTCAAATGAAACGCAGTGTTCAGGTAACTTAAATATATTCAATAATATGTCAAAGTTTTAATTGGTAGCAACTTTGTTCATCCAAATTTTTCTTTGTATTTCAGTTTGTTTTAACATAATTTTTCACTTAACTATGTTAGTTTATAATGTGCTGTTATATTTCAACCCTATTTAAAGTAATCTTGATATGGTTTAAAGCGTTTGGAGCCTTCACAGAAGGCACTTAGTAAAAAATCCATTATTTTTAAAGGAAATTAAGATCTGCAGATTAGAGCTAACTTATAGTGTCCCTAAGTTAGGTATTAACTTTATTATGCTCCTCTTGCTTCTTACGGGTTCATTATGGTTTTATTGTGCAATAGTAGTACAAACAGTCTGCTTCAATGAGAGATGAGAACCTCGGGGTATCTCCTAAGGGCTCTGTTCCTCTCTCCCTGTGGAGCACCATAGCCTGGTAGGAATCATTCAGGGCCTGAGTTTCAGGACAATTCACAATTGCTTTTATTGTTTACAACTGTGATATTGGCAGAATTATTATTATAAGGACACTGTGACTGGACTATATGATATGACGTTCCACTATTACAAATTGTGTCTCCGAATTTCCTGCCAAACTCTGCTTTACATTTGATAACAGACCTGATCAAATTACTATAAAAATAGGAATACTTACAGCCACAGGAGCAAGATTCTCCAAAGGACACCGCCCATGTCATGAAAGTGGGTAACCAGGCTCCACAGCAACAGCTCCAGAGCTAGCGGTGGCTCACGGGGTAGGGAAGAGCATCTACACACTTTGTGGTAGGATTCTCTGGTTAGCCATTGTTGTGTGCATGGTGTTGTGGTATCTGCTGTAATTTAATGTGTTGATTATGTGCATGAGCTTGCATAATTCATAGCAAGTGCTCACATTCAGCTGAAAGGATGTGCCTAATCACATTACACATAAAAAACCCCTCCAGTGCATGTTTGGGTTGTGGGGGGTTTTTTTGGTTTTTTGTTGGTTTTTTTTTTGATTGGTTGGTTGATGGGTTTTGTTGGGTTTTTTCATATGGCGCCACCATTGTAGCCAAGATTTTGGAACCTGGTTTTTGTTGTTTCTTTGGAGAGGGGGTAATTTAGTGTCAGTATTAACACTTGAGTATGAATATTATGTGATTTATCTGCCTACATGGCCTCTACTGTATTTTATTTTAAGGGGAGTGTACGGTGTATGTGAAATGTTTCTCATGCAGTGCTCATTTCATCTCATGTTTTATGACTCAGAATTTGTAAGCAACCAGAAGTTATTTCCCACTGTTTTGTATTCAATTTCTAACTCCCTACAAAATATATTGTCAAGTTTAGTATGTGGAGCTATGCTATGTAGTTAAAATTGAAATTGAGGGTACATAATAAAATCTTTTGGTCAGGAAATATCTATTTTTTGTCTCATCCTGTCAGTCTTTAATGAGGTTGTGATTTTGTTTATGTAGCATAATAAATAAAGTTCAGTAAGACAGTGCTTAAGCTGCACCTGGCTTTCCACTCCTCTGATTGTCTCCTTCACTATCAACTGCCTTTAGTTTTTGTCAGGGAGGTCAGTTTTTTCTGACCTTTTCTGATTTTAAAGGATTTGCCACTTGTATATAACTATCTTACCTGATTTCTAATTATAGATAGTGTGTAGATGGTGGAATGTTTACAGTGCTTTATATTTCTAAGCAATTTTTTTTAAACTTATCCTATTTCATTATCATTTACTAACCAAGGCAGTTTTTAGATGCATTGATTTATCTGTCTGAAGAATACCAGAATTATGTATATGCTGTAGGGGGAAGAAGTTCTTTTGTGTGATTTATCAAAGAAGTTGGAAAGGAACATACAACTGAAACCTTTTGAAAACTCTACATTAAAGTCAGAGAGGTTTAATCTTGTAAATTATTAGTTATGGATTCTGTGTAATGTGGAAAATATTTCTGTGTTCTACTTGCAATTTCTGCCATCATAAGTTTGTATCACTGAGATTGTATTTTGAAAACATACAGTGAAAGTGACACTGTTTGAAATGTATATGATATATTGTGTCCACATTTGTCACCAAATTACTTGATTGATTACTTAGTGAAAGAATCTTAACAATTTCTAGTAGAAAATCTCATCTGTACTGTGCATTTTTTCCAGAAGATGCACCATGAACTATATAAACATACTGCATTTCCCTAGAAAAATGGGAGCAACAATACCATACATGTCTAATTATTATTTACTGATAATGTTAGTGTTACCTAGAATCCCCAATAAGAAATTGGCACCTATATGATAGATACTCTATATACAGAATAAATTGGCAGTCACTGCCCCCATATTTTCTCAGCTTTTCTTTAAAAATTTCATTGGTGATCAAAATCACCTTTTTTTTAAATACAGTACAGACTAGAAAGAAATGAGTGCTTTGTTGATACTTCTGTAATCTTACCAAAATGTGAAAACTTATAACTTGCATAACTATAAATCATCTAAAAATCTTAAAGATTCTACTAGTGTTTTCCTTAGTCACCTTTGACTGAGGTAAACGAATACAGCATGTGTAAAGACATTTATGTGAAATCTGAAATACTAAATGAAATTTGTCTCTGTTGACAAATGTATTTCTCATATGTTTTCCTGCACTACCCTAAGTAGGCATTAGGTAAAAAGCTTCATTTTTTCCTGACTCTGACTTTGCAAACAATTCCATTTGAATATAAAAACAGAGAAATTATTTATATGTGTGGAAAAACACTAATTCCAAAATTTCTGTGCCATTAACTTAGAATATGTCTGGTTTGTTTTGTATGCATATGTAAACAGAGGTGTCAAAAGCAACTGCTAAAGTTTCAGTGTTGACTGCTATACTGAAGTGTTCTAAAAGTACTCTTAGCAGAGAAGAAAATCAATGTAGAAATGAAACCAATACTGAAAAATAAGTTTTTCATTTTAGATATTTAGATATTATTCGTATGGATATAAACGAATGCAAAGGCTTTTGGAAACAGGCAGAAAGCAAGCAAGGAGTGTTAGTGCTGTAGTAGAATAGGTTGGTAAACGTTGTGTGCCTGGAAAACAAGGAGCAAGTGTGAAAAATAACATACTGAAATACAACAAATGGTTTTTGTTGTTACTTTTAGTCTATAGTTATGACTGTTATTTTCATATATAATTTAAATCAACAGTTCCATACGTTAATATTTTATCCAGAGCTGTCTGAAATTCAGTGATAACATTCTTGCCACAGAGGCAAGGTATCCTTGAGGCATCTTTCCTAATTCTCTAATGCTAAGAACATCGTAGTGCTCTGAATCAGAATTAAAGGAACACACTGTATGTGCTCATCCCTCAATGTGTCCCAAGTGTTAAAAAGGCCTCTTCAGACCTGTCAGAGAGTGGCACAGATCTGCCTACCTGATTGCAGTCAAATGTTTCCTAAGGGAATCACCAGCTGACTGATAAATAATCTTAGCGTAGGTTTTAATAGTGTATAGAACTACTTATTTCAGCTTGTATATATCCCACAAGTGACCATCCTAGCTACCAAAAGAGATCTATTTGAAGTGTGGGTTCTGAGAGAGTTTCAAGGCAGTATTTAGAGTGCTACAAAAAGCAGACTTGATGACATGTTGTAAATCTTGTAAATGAACTTCGTTTGCTGGGAGACAAAATTCAAGAACTTAACAGAGAAATCAGGTTTCTACTGTTGCAAAGTGGTTTTGATAGCTTAGAATGAAATAAAAAGCAATTAAAAATGATGGCATGTGGTAAAGTATCATTTATACCCTGTTTACTTGTGATGTAGTTGAGGAAAATGAATGAGACTGCATTCACAGAGAACGATATTATCAAGAATTAAGTATGATGGGGGGAGAGAGAGAGAGAAGGGGAATTAGAGACAGGGAATAAAAATGCTGCGCAAAAAGCTGGTAGCCTATCAGATGAAGACTGTACATTTAGATACAATCTAGTGCATGAGAAAGAAGTTACAACATTTACTGTCACAGAGAAACCAGCCCACAGTCTGTCTTGAAGAAGGTGTTATTTTCATCCTGCCTCATCTATGACATGCCAGGTATTTTCAGGAAATGTTGCAGGAGTGTTTGCTTGTTGCGGCAGGAATGCTACTCGGACTTCCTCGCCAGGCTTTAGTTGGTGCTACTTTAAGCAAATATCTATTACTGAAGCAAATGCATAAATCTCATTAAGTCAGGATATACGTAAAGATGTTCTGCTCCTCATCTTACCTAAATTACCAAAATTCTTGAGGAATTAATACACAGTTTTTCTTTTTAATCTCTCATTATTAGTTTCTTATTTAACTATAATTCAAAAAAGTACTTAACATTATGTTGTCCATCCACGTTATGGACAAAAATATGATCTAATTTGGACTGAAATGTGAACTTACAGTGCAACACATATTTCATTATGGTCCTAAATACAGATTCGTCTTAAAATTGAGGCCTAACAATGCTAGATTTATTTTTATTTATTTTTATAAACCATTTTTTAAATTAAATAAATATATGCTGATTAACTTATATTTTCTATAAATTTATACGCCAAAATTATGGACTGGTAAAAATAGCTAGTTAATATTACAGGTGTTTCTTGGCTTTTCACTTTTGTTCGTAAGCATAATTTCTAATTACTTTTTTTTTTTGCTTGATGTAACTGAGGCTTTGCTTTACTAATCTGCTTCATAAAATGCTCCAAACCTATACTCAGTCCTTTATTTCTTCTTCCACACAAAATTGAAGAGTACTGGGAAGTTTAGTTTACACACTGAATTACAGGTTGCCCCTACGTCTTTATAGATGTCATGTAAACTAAAAGGGCAAAGTATTCAGAAACCTGATATCAAGGGATTTATGAAAAAACATTTCAGAAGTATTTTAAAGGTGATTTAGGTTGTACCCTTGGTACATTGCTCTATGCAGAAGTGCACTGTCCTACATGTTCTAGGTTTCAGTGTTATTCTACAGTCAGGATATATTGTAGTTAAGTCTAGTAACAAATGCTCAGAACTGCTCCCAGCCCTTACCAAACTGAATTGGAACAAGTTGGTTAGTTATTCTTAGGTTTAGATTTTTGTTATTGAAAAATGTGAATGTTTTTTTAAATCCATTGGTTGGGTTTTGATTTCTGAGGTCATAAGGGAAATATTTTTATGCTTTGGGAAATTTCAATGACCAGAAAGAATCTAGAATATCACGGAAATACTTTGAAATTAAATTTGGCATGTTTATTTTGTAAGAAATGTGTGCTTGTAAAATTATGGAAATTATAATATGAATATGAAATATACAATTCTATATTTTTAAACTATTTTTATGTTAGGCATAGTGTTCTTATTTATGTGTATGCACATTTATATATGTTGATATTTACCTATGCTTTGAAATCAGCGTGCTTGTGTTTATTTGCATTATTACACATTTAAACAAATGCATTTAATGCATCTATTTGAATGTGATACATCGTATACATGTGAGAACATTACTGTTTTAGTGAAAGATATTAAAGACTAAACACATTATGGCTAAGATTTTCTTATTTACAAAAGTTATTAAATTAACAGTTATGGTCTCTGCAGCATTTTAAATACTATTACGAAGTATGAAAACCAAAATACTTATCTCTACTGTAAAGAAATTATTAAAGAACCATCATGCTCATTATAGAGTTTACAATTTAAAATTTCCTACTAAGACTGAATGTAAAATCTCAACCATAACAATAAATTGTTTCTTTGCATTTGATTTATAATTTTAGAGTGTATTGTGCATGTTGAAATGTGATTTAGAGAAGGGATCATTCTGAAAAACGACCCAACTAATAAGTAGGATGACACTTCTATGTTGTGAAGTACAGTACTTGTTCCCAGATACATTATGAAGATTAAACAAATTTATATGTACATGTGTTTTATCTCAGGGAGTCAACTACTTTATGTCCAAAGGCATATTAGACGATTCACCAAAAGAAATAGCTAAGTTTATCTTTTGCACGAGAACACTAAATTGGAAGAAGCTGAGAATCTACCTTGATGAAAGGTAATCTGAATTTCTTTTAAAATATTTTCTATGAATTTTCAATGTACAGCACCATTCAACAATATTTTGTTTGTAGTGATGCAATTTTAAAGGTGTGAAAAGGCAAGAAAATGCATCTAAATAATGCTGCTAAATCTGAACAGTTATTCAGTTCAAGTGTTTATGTGACTTGTAACACTTTATAAGAACCCTCAAAAATACCACCTATAATAATTAATCTCACATCCTGGGATTTTCCAGCATTTTTGCAGTTCTAGGCATAAATTGTTTTGAAGTTATAGTGAATATTCGAACTGCACAGGATAGTCTTCGCACTGTTTAACATTCGTTTTTATAGATATTTTGCTGCTTTTTTTGACTTGAGGGTTTTTTTTCCCCTATCTAGTATGGGTATTAATCAGAAAAAATAGTTATCACTTTGCGAAGGGTTGATAGATTTTTCACTAATTTTGAATCATCTAACCATTATGTGGTTGTGTGATATTTCTCAACTGCAAGTCACAAACACTTCCCAGGATGCGATGGAGCATCCTCTTGGAGGCATCATGAGCTGCAGTAGGGAACAGTCTCCCTGCTGTAGTGTGCTCTTCTGTCTCTACAGTGCTTTCTTATGCCATCAGGTTGGAGTGGGGGGCAGTATGAGGAAAGAGGAGCACCAGCACTTTCAAGAGAAGTTGAAAGAGAAGGAGAACAGTAAAGGCACCTAAATAGAAATGCTGTTGTCCTTCTCTTCTTCCTAGCAGGAATCCTCTCCTGCTTGTAATCGTCTTCGACCTGTACTACTAAAGGAATAAAAGGAGTCATTCTAAAGTGGTATCACCACTGACAGTCCTGTGCTGTAAAACTTAAGATTATCAATCTTTTAGTCAATAGAAAATATACAAAACCATTTAGTGGATGAGATTGCAAGTTAATATTAGCAACCTCTACTGCCATTTGTCTTCCCTTCATAAACAGTGTATTTAGACACTAAAAATAAAAACCAGTTTTCTAATGTTGGAACTCCCATCTTAGTACTGAAAGGTAAAAATTAGGTTAAACATGGTAGAATATTCTTTGATTCACTTCAGATTTGCTTCCAAATTTTCTTCAGATGTCCTTTGCACACCTGTAGGCTGATAGGAATCCTTTAGATGTTCCTGTGATCAGTGGAAAACACTGGAGAGCATCATACCCTGATGAACTTAAGTGAGCAAATTTTGTCTAGCTGAAGCCTGGTTTTAACAAGACACTCCTATAGCCGTTTCTTTTAAACATCCAAATGTGTGACGCGTGAATTTATTCCCTTTACTGTGTTTTTTAATGGCTTTGTCACAGTTTAAAGGAAGCAAAGCGTCTATGTAGATTGATTGAATATACATATAAAGAAACTTTGAATTCTGATTAATGTATTTATAGTATTTGGCTACTATGTAAGTGAAAAACGTATTTATATTATCTTTGTGCTGTTAGTGATCATTTTGCCTTTCATCAGAAAACAAAGATCAGTCATACTGTTCTGAAGCTTTCTGTTTTATTTTTAAAACCTACATTTTCATATTACAACAGTTAAAAGAAACTTCTCTAATAATGTGGGTTTTCATTCTACCAGGCGAGATGTTTTGGATGACCTCGTGACGCTGCACAACTTCAGAAATCAATTCTTGCCAAATGCACTGAGAGAGTTCTTCAGACACATTCATGCTCCTGAGGAGCGTGGGGAGTACCTTGAAACTCTCATAACAAAGTTCTCTCACAGGTTCTGTGCTTGTAATCCTGATTTGATGAGAGAACTTGGCCTTAGTCCTGGTAAGCAAAAATGAGCTTTGATTCTGTGGATCAGTCTTTTTATTTCTGGATGATACTACTGTTTCTGATAGCTTTAAATTTGGCACCTAAACAAGTATTTCTGAAAGTACAGACATAGTTCAGTATACAGTCATAATTCCAGTTGGATTAAAAAAAAAAAAAAAAAAAGGCAAAACCCAAATGTACAGATTCTTTTTTTAGCTCATTAGTAAAGTTTATTTCCATGTTATCTTTCCTTCACTTTTGTCTGTGCTTGAGCTTTTTGCTTGAGTCTTTTACTGTCTCTGAATTTCCTCTTGCAAAGTCTTACACACTTAACATTTTACTTTGTGGATAGTCTCACAGAAATGAAAGGGAATTTTGGGCCTCATCAAAGTTAACAAGCATTTCTAATTGGTTAGGGGGAGACAGTTCTCAGCAGTGGAACTGCTTACATATTTAAAGATAAGCTTTTGCAGGATATTGGCTTTAGTTTACAAAATCTTCAAGAATCTGCTTAAATGAACATCCATAAAGCCCTGAGTGACTTTTGGATTGTGTAGAAATATTAAGAGATTTATGAATTCTCATTTGTCAGCGTGCTGACATTATTACTTTGAAAGTTTCTGTATTCAATTTCATTTCACTGGGATACCCTTTTGAGTTGTTATATATGTATATATATGCATATATATGTATATATAAACAAAATTATGAGCCCAGATGAAGAAGACCGTAAGGTTCTTGGAGAGGGAACAGTATCTTTAATGATCACAACTTCTTCTTTAAACTTTTTTTTATTTATTCTCTCTTGTCTAGATGCAGTTTATGTACTGTGTTACTCTTTGATTCTACTTTCAATTGATCTAACAAGCCCTCACGTGAAGAACAAAATGTCAAAGAGGGAATTCATCCGAAATACGCGACGAGCTGCACAGAATATTAGTGAAGATTTTGTAGGGCACCTTTATGACAACATCTACCTTATTGGCCATGTGGCTGCCTAAAAGCACAATTTGCTAGCACTTAAAATTTGTAATGTTCAAATATTATGTCAATTCAAGACATTAATTATTTTGTAGAGATGGGGGTTATTTTAGTGCTGGTCATTCTAACCTCTGTATGCAATCAAAGTTTGTGTGTGTAAGTGTGTGTATGTGTAAACTACCTTTTCTATCTATTTACCTTGGGAATGGAAGGATTTGGTTTTCATAATTTTTTTCAGTTTTGCACAAAACAATGCCATTAGTCTGACACAGCCATTTACGAATGTTAAACTGACATTACAGTCTAAGCTGACAAAGTGATGAATTTGTGCATTAGATCTGCTTGAAACTTTAATACGTTCATTCTTTTTAGAATACTGTGTAATGTGTATATATTTAACTGAAGAGATTTATAATCATAATTATTTTATTGTAAAATATTTTAACTAAAATTTCTCCTCTTATCTCTTAAAATAGTGTTGTACTTTTGTTTGCATTTTTTTTACAATGCTGACTACCTCAGATACATAACTTAGAGAAACATTAGTCTGAGTGCTACAATAAAGTTTATTCTAGGAGATGACAGAACACTTGTAAAACATCTAACCTGGTATTTTATACTATATTTACTAACTTGACTTAGCATATTGCCGATCTGCTATTCACTGTTTTAAAGACTACAGGCTCTATTTTAGATAAACCCTGATGTCATACAGGGATAGCCAAGGGAAATCGTACAGTGTACAGAGAGTTTTACAGAATTTACATATATAAATTTACATCTATTTTTCAGACACTAGTTCTTGGGAAACAAGGCAACTACAATCACTTATTCAGCACATTAAGCAAGGAAAAATCTAAACAGGGAAAGTAGTGGGGGCAACTAATATGTTGCTTTCAACTGGTTCCCTCAGTCTAGAAGTGTCAGTGATGGAAATGCCTGGACAAATACATACCAGATGACTGGTATGTAAAGCTGTTAAAAACTGACTGTGCAAGATTAGAGCAGTGACTGTGCAGGATTCGAGAGCCATTTCAGAATCCAAATACTGAGGTACTTTCTAAATCAGTCATGTAGCTAGATTTTTAGCAGTTCTAGATTTATGGAAATACTTCAAAAATTACTTAGGTAGTGTCTGAAGTATGTAGAATATTAGCAGTGCAACTGCTGTGCATGTGCAGGAATTGAGTGAGATTTGCTTGGTGTTTGTTCAGACGACTCGCAGAGCAGTGCTTTTCTTAAATTGACGTAACATAGTTAAAATAAAAGCTGTTCTTCATTATGTTTGTTTACATAATATTCAACTATAAGTAGGATCTGGATTCATCATGGCACCAGTACATTTATTCTTTTTCCCTACCACACCGTGAGGTGAGAAGGTATTCTTAGTTGTGTTTTACAGATTAATCTGATCTATGTAGAAAGCCCGTGGCAGAGCCAGGAATTGAATGCAGGTCATACCCCTCATAGGCACACATTTTGCCTACGCTGCTGCTTTCCATTTGGTACCTAGGGAGTGTTATATTTTATTGAGAAGTGAGAATAATCATGACAATGACAGTCCACGTAAGGGCTGCATAAATGACAGGAAGAAAAAATGTAGCTATTGCTGCTATTTCAAGTGTTTAGCGCATTTTATTTATAGCTCTGGCCCACATACAAAAATGCACATGGAAAAAGTTGTACTTTTTTGTTACGTTACCTTTAATCAAGTGTAAATGCCATTTGTATTTATGTAGCATACACAGACAAAGCCAGGAGCCAGCAGTATAGCAGCTGTCTTCCAGACACGTTTACAGTATCACTCACCTCTCTCAGGACAACTACTCGTCACCCTCTGTTGTTTCATGTATTTTGAAAAGGCCAAGGATGTGTTCTGCAGTGGTCAGTCAATTAATCTCAAGCACAAATAAAGAGCATATGATATGGTGGAGAGCTTTGTTTAAGGCACTGATTTCTTCTCCTGTATTAGAAAAATAAAAAATAAAAACAAGTGGAAAACTTTTAACATAACCTGTAAAACCAAAAATAAAGGGCAAGTGTCTCCTGGGCTCCTTAAAGTGATCTTAAGTGCAGATTGCAGAATACAGTTTTCTAGAAAACACTCTTCAGAAGTTACACACGTAAAAAGAAGAATGCAGTGAATTTTTAAGTTAGAACTATTCTTATTAGGAAAGGTTTTCTTCTCAAATCATAAATGCAGAGCGAGGCCTAATTCTCTTCTGACTTGTATTTAAGTTGGCATTAGTGATACTGGTTTTGATTTTGCACTGATAAGAGAGCATGAATTGTTAGTCTTCATTGCTCTTAATTTCCAGTTACCCTGATACAAAACAAAGCCTCCAGGCAGACAGAACATGTTTTTTTTCTGGAGTAGATGAGTACATCTATTAGCAAGGTTTAGAAAGCTTCAAGGCCAGTGTAGCAGCCAAGAAGATAAATTAGAAACAGGGTGATATGATTAAAATCTCCATAGGACAAGTCCAGGGGAAAAGAAAACAAAGCACTAATGGCATACAGATAACAGCATCTGATCTCTCCAGTAGGATTTTGAACAGTGTTAGATGATTAGTGCCCAACTCATGTTGTACATTATGTTACCAGAACAGAGCTGAACAGAAAGCAGCAAACACAACATACCAAATGTGAATTCCCTCCGAGGCAACCAAGAGACAAAAAATGAATATAGATATTTCTTATGTCCTTTTTTTGTTCTTTCCAGTTTGAGTTTTTCTGCACAAATGGCTGAGAAGTAATTTTTTGCATTTTAATAATCTGGACCTTATGCAAAATTAGGCAATTTTTTTGTTTTAAAAGGAAAAAATAGCCATAAACAGGTGTAATAGTACTCTTACAAGGTGAGAAGAAGTCTATTAGTCATACTCCAAAAACCCTTTACAAAACTGAGTTTTGGGCAGTGTCTTCTTCAATGCACATTTCAAAAGAAAATAATGATAGATACCTAATTGATCCAGGTGTCACTAAATGATGTGATGTGGAAACAGCTACTTGATCAAACACTTCAGAAGACTTAGCTAGAGGATCCCAAGCCTGATTACGTGAGCACGATCACCCCATAACTGCAATGTGATTCTCAAGCTATTGTGATTCCACCACTGCATGTCCTTTGAACTTTGGCCATGTGGTGTTGCCTTATTGCTAAGCGTACAGACTGTACACAGCACTGAAGGAAGAAATGAGCCTGCAGCCCATCGCCCTGCAAACACTGGCTATCCTGGTCCTAGTCCATGTAAAGTGTCACACAAATACAGCTCATTGTTTCATGTATTAAAATCTCAGACTCTCACTGCATTTATTGAAGGACTATGGCGTATATTGCATATTCACATGGCTTAGTTATAGGCAGTATCTGATATTATACGTTTTCTCAGACTCTATTTGGGTCTAGAATACTTTCCATTCAAACTCTAAACAACACATTTAAACAGCTTTGGCTTTTTAAAATTCAACTTAAAGTTAATTTAAATTAAATTTTAACTTCAACATGCAAAAACCCAAACAAATGTAAGTTAGAGACATGTTTGTCAGTTTTGAAGTGAGCAAGAATATCGCATTGAGGAAAAAAATTTCATTTTGTTCTGTTCAACCTTTCCCTTTCACCCCCCACACTGGAAAAAGAAACACTATAAACAGTTTAAAAATACAGCTTTAGGAAAATAAACTGACTAGCTGGGCAAATAAATGTTACTGTTTCCTCTTCAATATTCTGCAGGTTATTAATGTTCTTCAGATAAAAATTGCTAACAGGGATTGCTCTTTTTTGAAGTGGCAATAATTTTGTTCTCTGTATAAGGATGTCATTGTTCACTATTTGTTTATAGTTCTGTTTTTAGAAAACAAGTATTAAATTAAGTACTTAAAATTGAGGTATACCTACCTGATCATGTTAAAATGTCAAAATAACAATAATAAGTATTTAGAAAAGCCAAATCTACTTGCCTTCTACTGGATTGGGATTTTTTTTCAAGTATTTCATGCTTGTATCAGATCTAATAAACATTAAGGCTGATGACTTGTTCTCTGCCATTGTAAGATCTGCCCTTTTGAATAACAAAGCTCAAAAGCACTATTAAAATGGAAAAAGAACAGACTTAAAGTGTTTCCTGTGTCTCCCATAGGCACATTATGGTTTCATTTTGCCTTAAAGAGAAATAATATACAAACTTCTATAATCTTCGTGTAATATTGTGTTTAATAGGATAAAGTTTTATATGATATTCTGATATTACTTATCAGATGTTAAAAGTTCAGACTTGCCATACAATATGCGCAATTAAATCATAATCAAATAGCTAGGATTAGTTTCAGAAATGTGTATGTAAAAAACTTTAAAGAGATCACATTGCTCCTTCATCACCACTGGTTTTGCTGGCATGATGTTAGTAGATTTGCAGTTTTCTTTTCTTATTCATGTAAGTAGGCTTAGAGAAAAGATGGATTAGAAAATCTTTACACAGACTATTTCCATTCCATATGTGAAATTTGCTTACATTAAAAAGGAAATTTCTGTATTTACAGTTTTAAAAAAGCAAAAAGCTGCAATTCATTGAAAGAAGGAAGAGACTCTAATTTTCAGCTTTTTGGTTCACTCATAGCATCTAATACAGAAAATGAGCAAAAAGTATTTTTCAGTCCTAATAATGCAACAAATGCCTTATTTTTTAAGCTTTAAAATGCTGTTTATTAATAGAGTATGTGTACCTAACAAAAATCAAGTATATTTATGTGAAAGCAACACGGTCAGGATACTAGTTCTTTTCAGAGAGAGTATTCATTTGTAAAAGTTAGCTTTCTTCTTGGCAGTGTTGGAGAGGAATGTTGGATTTAATTTAAAATGATTAATGAGATTTTGTCAGACTCCCTGCCTTTACCACCACTGCAGTTTGTCAGCACAACAACCTGGGAAACCCGGACGCCACTCTGTCGCCCTAAACCGCTTTCCAGGAAAAAATAAACCTGAGTAACTAATGCCAGGTACATGTCAATGGTATTGTCTTTCAGCTGTTGAAAGTTTAACTGGAAGTTGGGACATTTACACATTCTGAGGAAGTGAACCTCATTCATTATTTCAATAGTCTGTTTTTGACAGTGGATACCAGTGTAAACTGAAGTTTTCAGAGCAAGCACAGCCTTTATTATTAACCTTATGGAAAATCCTATCTTCCATGCAGACGAGAAATTCTTTAAAAGGGAAAAATATATATCAAAACTTGTTTAGCTAAGCTTTTCTGGAGGAAGACCATCTACGCAACCTGCCTCATATTTTACTGTATTTCGTTAGGGGGAATCTCATTCTTTGAGCACTACACATGCCAATAGGTTGCTAGGAATGCTCTGTTGGACTCAAGGCAGTTGTGTCTGTGTTCACACGTGTGCCAGAATCTGAGAAGTTCACAATATTTTTCATACTGGACCATAACATAAGAAAATTAATAATTCTTTTGAAATGTAAGGTAGATACTGAAAATTGTTTACCATTTGCCTTTTTTGCTTTCCTTGTGGAAATTTATTCTGTTGGTCTACAGCTTGAGCATTATGTTCTCCTTACACATAAAATACACAAAAACTGAAAAGACTTTGAATTTCGAAAGCAGCCTTCACCTTCCAAGGAAACACATTCCTGCCTGTGCTGCAAAAGTCTTTCTGCAGTCATATAACGCTGTATCAACAAACTGACCTTGCACTCACTGCTGTGGACCCCTTTTTACACCAGTTCTATCAATTAACTCAGCAGGCAAAAAATCCTGTGAGGCCTCACAGTGATGTAGATGGAGAAAAAGACTTGCTCTACTACACTTGGCAGAACATACTGCTTATGAGGCACGATGGCACACTTATTCTTTGCATGACTTTTATCTTAGCTATTTCTTATGTGGTAAAAAAACCTATTTTCACAACTGCAGTTTCCCCATCTTCATATCCAGAATTCAGACCAATTGTCATCATTACGTGCAACAAAACTGAACTGAAATATATTTTTGTAACTGGAGAACTTCTGAAATTTACTTACCTTCAGGCAGCATAAATCACCTGCGTAACAAAACAAGCAAGAAAACCACAGAACTGCTTTAGCAGTGCTGGAGAAGTGCATCTCTCAGTATGCTTCTTGGTAACAATCAAGATGCTGCATTTTTTTATATTAAATGTAACTTCTTGTTTCTATATTCCACTTAGGAATTTATATCAATAAATGTATTTGCTACTGCTCCATGCTGTCAAGTCTGACAGTGCCATTTCTGATTTTGGATTAGCAAAAGCTGGACTTTTTTTGGTTTGGTTTGTTTTTCCCCTGGCACAGAAGAGAAATTTAAAATAAATACTCAACATTCATTTATCACTGCAAAAATTATCAATAATGCTTGATTCTTTTGTCCCTCTATATAGCATTTAGATATGTAATAAAATACAGAAGTCACATGATTAGTAATCTGCTTTTGTTAAATTCTTTTTTAACTTTTTGAAAGTAAATATATTAGTATATGATTTCCCTTTTTTGATGTTAAGTGTTCACAGTGTACCTAGTGCTGCATGACATATACTGAAAATCACAGCACTTACAAGCCTAATTTGGATTTTTAAATGGTGCATAGACAGACATTCTGATTTCGTATATAAGATGGATTTAATTTAAAATCATAAAGACCCTAAAATGTATTGAAAATTCTTTTGAATGGATGGTATTTAGTAGTATTTAGTTCAATTGTTGGACATAAATCAAGATTTATGATCTGAGTCTAAAGATTCAGGTTAGTAAAACGGAAAGAACCAAAGGAAGAAATGTTCTTTGATAAGATTTTTTATTAAAACTAAAATTTTGTTGGTTTTAATGCAGATGAAGACAGAAGTTTTGAAGAGGTGAGATTAGTGGTTTCTGTAAGAGGTTACCTGGTCCCAGACTTATTCAGACCTCATCCTCCCTCTTTCCTGCAGTAACATAACAGCCTTCCTGGCCTGCCCAACACCTCTGCACCTCTCCACAGCTCTCCACAGGGAGGCTGAGCAGTCTACTCCTCTTCCACCAAATTAGTAAATAGATTGATGTAGTCTTGTTATTTTTAAAATATAAAATGTTCTCTGTAATTTCTTAACAGTGGTTAAATCACAGATAAAAGAGAAATTAGAAGTTAAAATGTACTCTCGGTATCAATATTTTGTAAGTACAGACAGTTGTTCTATTATACAAAAGGAACAGAAAAGGAAGCCTGTGTTACCAATCATACAGTTTTATGTCAAGCCATTCCAAAATCATCCCCAAATTAATTTAATGAATGCTGATTGATGATCTTTAGTCTATTTTAGAAGTTGTTCACTACATACTTGAACTAAGAAGAATTTCACACAGAATATGAGAAAATACTTGGAGAAGCTTATCTGCATTATCCTTACAAGACAGCTAACAAGTTACACCCTAGTAAAATTGTTGCACCAGTGCTGTCAAAAGCAAATCAGTACCTCAAGGGAGTAGAGTCAGAATGTTACTGGGATTTGGAAGAAGCAAAAGCTTAGAAGTATCTTTAATGCTTCACCTCACAGATCCATTGTCTCAACACACTGTTTAAGCTGATAAATGTCACTGTGTTATCAATTGAATCATAGCAGTATTCTCAAATCTTTTTGGATAATCTATTCTCAATAAAGAAGAGAAGCAAAAGCGGATTGACTCTTCAGAGCCTTTATGCTTACTACAAGTAGTGTAAGTAATACTTAATACAAGTAGTGCCAAAAATCATTTTACCTGAGAGAAAGGAGAAATTGTAAAATTCAATGCCCACGATGCACAGATCTGTAAAACAAATGGCAGAGTCCCACCTGTACAGGTACAACAGAATATTGATCTAAAAGAAAAGGTTTCTCAGTTTTAATAAAATCTAATCTCAAGCAGTTATTGAAATGCCAATTTGGTTTCAGCTCCTTCGTAGCCAGCTGTCAGTGTACAGGTGTACCACATAATGTGGCAAAGGAGACTTTGTGTGTTAAGAGGCTGATGAATAGTAAGCTGTCTGCTCTGGCCAGCACTTCTCACAAACAGTCTTTGGTGAGTCCATAGCATTGTAAGATCTTCCGAAAAGACATTTGTCACTTACCCTATCAAAATTTTAGAAGGAATGCTCAAAAGTCTGAAGAAAGCCAGGTTGGAGGGTGAGGGGTGCAATTGTTTACACTGTTAGGTATGTGTATTGTATAATTCTCTCCCCCTTTCCTCCTTTTTAATTTTCTTCGTTTCCAGAAAAACTTGCTTATATCAGTCTTAACAATCATTTCTCTTGGTGGGAGAGGGGAAAAGACTGAATCTTCAAGGGTAAAAAAGTGTGTGAGCTTTCACAGGATTTCCATAACATTAAAATCACTTACATCAAAATTACTATGTATCTGCAGAGTCTTCAGATACTATGTTAATGACTATGTATTTTATGTACTATTTTAACTGGAAATTGTCATTTAATACATCTCATTGTATTACATATCGTGACAATTGATAATTGTCATTATCACTCATTGTGTCAGTCTTTTACATCACAAATCAAGGCAAGTTTCAGTCAAAGGACTCCATAATACATTGCTGTGGAAAATGATACCTCAGGCCCGCGAGAGTAAAGCTTTGATTGATAAAGCTTTCACTTAAATGGTGATAAGTATAAATTGTTATATGAAAATGAAACTGCCTTTAAGCAACGAAGTGATCCAATCTGTTTTAGACACAGGTCCTTAAAAGGGAGGTCTTAGATGTAAAACCAATCGCTATTCTGCTGACCATACACATCTTTAAACACGTTAAGTTTCCGAGAAGCCAATGAAACAACTTTCCTACTATTTATGTCTCTAAGACCCAGTCAGCTTGGAAGGACAGCACCAAAATCCACTCTCCTGACATGAGTAGTATTTGGTTTAGGCTCCTTATAGGATTTGTTTTAACAGATGACAACCATGGAGTGAAATTACCAAATACCAAGTTTATTCTTGGTAGGAAAACTTGCACAACAAATGCAATAATTTCAAAAAGAGAAAATT